TGAAAGCATATTTCAAGTCTAACGAGGTGAACCAAACGGTGCCTGGTACATCTTTAGTGATTATTTGAGCCACAGAATCAACAAGCTCGTGAATATTTGGCATCTGGTACTTGTTCTTCCAGATTTGCGCATTCATCGGTTTAGCATTTAAAGCAAGTTTTATCGAGCCGTCCTTCTTGGCAGTCAGTACAATGGGTGCTATGAAATAGTCAGTTGTGCATTTGTCCAGTTTCTCAATGTGACCTTGTTTTACCAACTGTTTGATTTCGTTAGCGACTCTGTCCTGGATGTGAATTGGGACTTTACGTCCCTTAACCTGACGTGGTACCAGTGGATACTTGAAGTTTGTAAACACTTTGTGGTTCTTTGATCTTCCTAATCGATTAAATACGTGCGCGTAATTTTTAGCGAAGAAAGAACTCCAATAATCGGAGACAGGATCCTGGTTCAGAACCTCAAGTTGCTGAACGTGTTCTGCCTTCAGTTGGGTGGTCACTATTCCCAATTGGTCTTGTAAGTCCAAACCCAACAGGTTTCTTGTTCTGTTCTCCGAGACAAGGAAGCAAGCCTCTTCCACTCTCCAACCACTAGACGAGATCGGTAGACAAACTGAGCCGAGAAGGCGGATTGGTTTTTTACTGTAATCAACATACAGAGTGTCTATAGGATTCCGTGCTACGTCTCGAAATTTGAACGACGGGTTGCGCTGTAATATCAAATCGCAAGTCCGTTTATTAATGAATGAGACAGGACTTCCAGTGTCGATGGTTGAGTAGAAGAAGCTCGAACCCGTACGCAGCTGGATACTGAGGCTTCTCGGTTTCCCTTTGTTTGATCTGAGAAGCTCAACGCTATCAATCCTAACAGCACTTTCAAGTTGTAGCACACTGTATTCGGGTTCGCTATCATAGTCTGCATCAATGAAGTTACAGTCAATTGAAGGGTCAGTCACTTCCTCACTATCATCGACCAAATTGACGCGACGTCTTGACGAGTTACAGCATTTAGCAAAATGACCTCGTTTTTTGCAAAGATTGCAGGTAACCTCTCGAGCGGGACACGACTTTCTGTGTTCCGGGCTAAAAGGGTTGCCACAGAAATAACATGCTTTGTTGCCTTTGTTACTTTGTATATTTGGTCGATTAGAGTTGTTCTGAGGAGTATTCAGCTTTCCTCTAGATGACTGTATTGAGAAAGTGGGTTCTTGTTTTATCTTGACATTTCCAGTGACTTGGTTATGTGGGAGTAGTTTTTGGAACTGGGCCGACGTACTAGCCCCTTTTTCGCATTCTAGAGCGAGTTGGAATGTATCGTCTAAATCTGCTTTTGCCTTAATCAGCTGCTGTTGCACATCCACATCACGAATTCGTCCTATGAAAAGATCTTACAGGGTATCCCTCTCTTGAGCACGTGGCCAATTACACAAGGCAATTTGAGCACTGAGGCGAGCGTAGAATGAAGAAAAGGTGTCATTTTCCAACATAAAGATATTGTTGTACAGTTTAATGCGCTCGACAGTATAATCGCGTTCTATCTTGAATAGTGTTTCGCAGGCTTTGTGGAAATCACGGAAAGGAGTGACACTGATGTCCGTATGCGGGTAGGAATCCGCGAAGCGTCGTTTCCCTTCGTTTCCTAGAGCGAAAAACAACCGTGACTTCAGTCGGGCTTCTGCTTCGTGATAGAACCAGTTGAGGCCTATTCTGGAGCCTTTCCTTCTGCGCTCGGCATTGTATTCGGCCATGCGGCGAACTGCTGCCTGATCTCTGAGGAGGCGTGCATCGGCCTCCGCAGCTGTTTCCGTCGCTCCTATGATCTCAGCTTTTGGAGGTGGTTCATCGATTACCTCCGTGGGTTCTGCTAATAACTCCTGAGGGTTCAGGTTATCTTTTAACCCCACCGCCAGGAAGAACTGTCCAATCCAAGATTCCCAAAGGAATGGGGGGTTAATCGAAGGTTTCGCCCAAAAAGGGGGAATACCCAACAGGTCAGTCCTGTCTTCGTTCACAGGAACTGCTGGCTGCGCCATGAGATTTTCCGAGATTTAAAGGACAAAACTAGATTGTTCGTAATAGTGAATTGATTGATTAGTTGCTTTGATTCTTAGTTACTTGAGATTTAGTTAGTCAGACTTTGACTAAATGAAATAGAACGAATAGAGATTGAATAAACTTTACATCTAACAACGATGTATACAAAAACATAAGAGTGATCACACACAGTGTGTCGCTCGGTAAGGCCAATCCGGTGACCTTGAGCAGACTGGTAAATAACTATGCAGCATGGCTGCAAAAGACAGCAAAATAAATGAGGTACTAAATGTCGCCTCATCAAAATAACAACAAATTTGTTTTGAAAATGTAGAAATGCTGAAAACAAATCAATTTATTCAAAAGTCACCTTGTTTATCAAACGATTCAGGTTATTTGGTAAACAATTTTGATATGACTTGCGAAAAACTCTGGGAATCAATTTGACAACGTTTCTAATCGCGAACCAAAATAATATTCGTCAAACTTTAAAGCGCGGAGCAGTTTTCAAATAACTTCGAACCTTCTGGCTTAAAGAAGACATTTGACATGGAAGTTAATGGCTATAAAATTTAAAATGTAGTCAGACAGCAGCATCTGATGCAGTTTCATACACATACTTGACTATTTCAGAGAAAATTTCGAGGTCCATTTTTGAAATTAAATTTATTTTTAAATAGCTTTTAAGACAATTAATCCACAAGTAGCAGACCGACAAATGAGCTGTTCAATTTTTTACAGAGAACTGTCATGCACCCCTGCTTCTAATTTAGATGCGTTTTCTGTGGTGGCTAATGTTGCCTCATCCTCAAGCAGCGATCCAGGAGGGCGTCGAACGTCTGGTCTTCCGATTGAGAGTTAGTGACGTAACCACTTCAACCCTGCTCACATCATGAACAAAAACCCATATGATAAGCTTAAAAATTTTAATATTTTTCCACAATTGAGCACCTCGGCCCAATTGAAGGTACTTGATGAAATTGTTCCCTAGCAACCAAAACTTTTGGAACCCTGGATCAACTATGAGCGTCCATATAAAAACATTCTCAACCAGTTTCGAACTCAAACCACCTTTAGGATACATTTAAGGCTCTTTTCTATTTTCCTCTCACATTTGAAATCAATTGATTTGAAAAACTATTTCCGCGATGCCTGAAGCAATGAAACTGTGCATGATTTACTAAAACTATTTCGAAAAGATTTGTCGTTTTTTAGACTTTCTACCAAAACACGGCGCTTTCAGCCAAAATCACTACAAAACATCTAAGAAAAAAAGAATTGATATGAAAGAACAAAGAAAAAAAGCGAAATCAATCTATTGATAAACTATTTTTTGAATCGTTCAATGAAAATTTTAAAATGCAAGTATTTAATGTCAAAAACAATATCAGTCATTCTCAATGCGTGCGAAATTTTAGGGTTTAACCACATCAACATTTGCTACTATCAGTCGAATTAGGGCTATTCTGAGGCATCAATTCATATTGTAAATTAAAAACAAAATAGTAACAAAATTCAGTAGAAATTGTTTTAAATATACAAAAATGGTCAAAGGATATCAATTTATGACACAACCACATAGTTGATCAAATAAACTATTGAACAATTTTTTAATCTGCGAAAAAGTCTATATGTCAATTTGATATTGTTTCAATTCGAAAACCAAACTATGATTCGTCCAACTTCGAAGCGCGAAGCGGTGTTCGCATAATTTCTAATCTTTTGGTTTGAAGTGAAATTAATTTCAACAAGACATAAACCTGAATAAAATTTTCAATTAACTTAGAAGTGAAGCTGAGTTTTGCAACACTTGCGATACAATACAAACATTAAAAAAAGGTAACAAAAAATATTGGAAAAATTAGGTCTGCTAAAATTTTAATTTTTGTATGTCTCAATACCAAGTTCAATCTAGGCAAACATGACAAGCAAAACATCTGAATTTTAATTTAGCAACGGTAAAAAAATTACAAAGCGGAAACGCAGCCGACAACTTTTGAGCAGACCTTAAATGAGCCGAAGAAAATGATTTTGTGGAAGAGCTTCTAAGTCACGTCAAAACTTGAGACAAACGAAAGTCTGAAAATTTAAATTTTTTGGGGAAAAAATTCAATTTCATACATTCTGAAAAAAAGCAGGTCTGGCTGGGACTCAAACCCCACACAGTAAGGTATAAAGGTTACCACTCGACCTATAAAAAAGTGGGAGCAGACCTAAAATTAATAAAAAGTATTAATAAAGCAAATAGGAAAAATTTTTTATGCCTAATTAATGGTACGCAAGAAAGAATTTAGTCATTAACTCTTTAAAAGTCAAGTTCCCGTTTTCTAAAAGATACTTCAATCGAAAATGAAATACACTCTATGAACTTGCTAAGGTAGTCATGAGTTCTTGGAGGTCCAAAAAACGTTTAAAGTAGTCAATAAAGACAACACTAAACAAGGATAGCCGACTACTTTGCAAGTAGCACAGAAGGTTCCGAGCGTAGTCTTTAGAAAATTAGAGTAGTTTTTTCTGCTTGGTGTGATAAAAGGATCTGTTTTGTAGAAAGATATGTAGAAAAACTAAAGAAAAAAGGAAAAAATTGAGACTAAAAACTAATTTTAATTGCTGAAAATTAAGTTTTAAGGTCTTAAATTAGGCAAAATTCAGCTTGTAAGCCTGCTCCCATGCTTTATTTACTCGAATTAAGACAAAAATCAAAATTTTCAAATCGGAAAACTTTCGTAGTTTATTTTAATATAGTTCGAATTGCGACTGAAAGGGCTATAATATGATATATCACTTAGTCCGATGATTACTTGTCGTACCTGATTTTGCGTGGAAAACAAAAAAAAACTAAAACTCAGGAATACAAAGTTCCTCCCCATTTTCAATGGTCGGAACGAAAACCATGCTTTCTAATATAAAATGATGTTTTTGTGAGGTGGGCAAAAAGGAAAAAGAGTCGTAATCAAATTTTGTCAAAAACAAGAAGTATAAAATTAAATTCATTGGGTTAATTTGGGTGCAACATCAGTCAGTTAATTGTTATATAATTAGAACTATAAATATTTCAAAGAATTCTCTGAACTTCTTCACGATTCGTATTCTCTTCTACATACTGATAATAGAATCTACAAATTATTCTAAATGCCAAATATTAATAAAATAAAAAAATTTCGACTCTCAAAATGTCATTTCAACCAAAGAACATAAAGCAAGTCGAAATTTTCCCAATTCCAATGAAGTCAGAATTCAAATATAGCGAATAAAATTTAAAGACAAAGAGAAAACGAGCAACAAATTCAAGCACAAACATAAAAATCACCAATGCGACCGCGGAGAAGCGATCAAATTGCGCATTTGCGAGATCAAAATTGACAAAACATGTTTTCTAAATATGATAGTGTGTCTGTGGTTCATTAGTGTCGTTTAGAGTTTACCTCTGTGATCGCAATAACAATTGATCTAATTTGGAACCAGCTCGTATCGAACTGTCGACAAGGTTGTGAGCAGAAGGTGCAAATCAAGGATGATTCAGACGAAAATCTTGGCGAGTGCGTCGGCGCCCGCACTTGCGAAGAACTCTTTGGTGGGATGGAAAGCGACAGAGTAAATTGACTCGTCGTGTTTCTTCCTGTGTGCGGCTACTTCCTGTACACAGGTCTTCGACTCCAGGTTCCAGAGGCGCACCGAGCAGTCGTGGGATCCGGACAGGAGGTAGAGTCCGGAGGGGTCAGTGGCCAGACTGGTGATGGAGTCCAGATGAGCTACCATCTGGTGCACCATCTTACCACTGGAGTGGTCGAAAAATCTAAATCACATCCAAATTAACGCTTTGGCTATTCTATCATATAACTTATATAACTTTTTTTTTCTGATTCGATGATTTTGCTCGCGTTATTCAATTGCAAGGAAAATTGAAATGTGACTGCATAGCGCAATGAGAAACACATTTTTTCTTCCTGTATAAAATGTAAAACTCATGTTTATATACAAAAATGGCATGAGCTGGGGAAACTGTAAAAAGCTTGGTTTTGTTTTGTGCACCCCTACCTCAACGTGAGCTTTCATGTGGAGAGTTACCTCATTCGAAAAATAATTAGTCTTTACTTGAAACAATCTTGTAACCCCCTCAACGTACACGTGTTCAAAATTCTTCAAAAAAAGGGTCGATATAGTGTTTTGGGAGAGCTCGGAAAATCAATTTGCTCGTCCTGGAAAAGTCGCCGAAAACTTTGAAATTCCGCTTTCCTTAAGCAATTCCTATAGAGTCAATGAACGCACAGAACCAAAAATTCCGAATTTCAAAGAAAAAAATATTTGGCCTTTTAAAGCTCTTTGAATTACAAGCAAAATTTATGATTGGCACTTTTTTGATAAAATTAACCCAATTTGAGAAAACTGGAGTGTTATAAAAGTGCTTATACCGCTCTAAAATCTTAAAATTAAAAATTGATCACGTTTTTTCTCAGCATTTTTATCTGCCTTTTAGCAAATTAACTTGAATTGAACTCAAAAATTGCCTATATACCTAAGTGCATTCATAAAGGCATCAATATGTATGAATGCACTTCTATAAAAAAATATTCGAGCATTTAAGACTTTTCCTAAAACAAAAAAATCATCAAGACCTATTTAAGAGTGTAAATTACTATCATCGACTCTTAATCTTAGCGCAATCTATCCGAATTTGAATAACTTTAATTTCGAATGTCTGATTGGTTCCTACTTCAGGAAAAATGGTCTTCCGTATACATACCTCAAATATTTGTCCTCGTGCGCAGTTATTGTTTGTGAGCTAGTGGGGTGATTCACAATCTTGTTCACTTGTTTGGGAGAGAAGGGCTCAGCTGAAACGAACAATAAAGACTTATTAGTTTAAAAATAGGCACATAAATGTAGGAGAGCATATTTGGTTTTCACTTGATCGCTTATTGAGCAATCTTCAATAACTTCGAGGTGACTATGTCATCAAACTATGACCTTCAAAAGGCACTCAAAACGTAATTTCTAAACTTTGCCACTTTAAATCTGCATCTGGACTCGAATAAGTCAAAAGTTCAACTTATGATGGATGGTCATGGTCATGACCAAAAGTCTGGTCATGGTCCATTGCTTTTCAAATGACATTAAATTCAGTCTGTTTACTTTGAACGATTACTTCAGAAAAATATAGCAAGAGGACAGCAAGCAAGGTACAAATTCATTGCGCCTAAATTCAGGTCAAGATCGAAACTTCAACTAAAAATGACTCTTCCTTTTTTGCCACGCTTTTGAAAAAGTAATTGAACACAAAGAGTAGAAAAAAAACACTGACTTAGTTAAAAAAATCTCAACTTTCGAACTTCAAAAAAATGGATGGCCTTCAAGCTCTTTGAATTTCTAGAACAATTTATGATTGGCACTTTGCTGTTAACATTAACCCAACTTGAGAAAACTGGATCAATAGTAAAGTTTTTATTCCGTTGGAAATCTAAAAACTAAATTCCACTTTCGAAACTAGAAATTGATCACGTTTTTTCGCGCCATTTCCATGTTCGTATTAGGAGAGTTCTATTTACTTAACTTTCAGCAGATGAAATTCAATTGAACTCAAAAAGTGCATATATACCTAAGTGGGAGTGGGGCGGGGGGTTTGGAATTTCAAAAGAAAACATTTTTTAAAAACATTTTTATGAAAATTGTATCTAAGATTTTAAGCAAAATTATTTTCAAACAACTTAAATGAAAGTTGGAGCATGCAGGGCTTTGCCCTGATACTAGCAATCTTGTTGTAGCTTTGTTTTCAACATTAAAGTACTTATGCTTATAGACTTAAACCGCTACTGAGCCTATGTCTATAAGCATATCTACGCTGCTCGAAACTGAAAAAATTTCCCAAATAAAACTTTGGCAAGTAGGCCGACAGAAATTGGGATTAAATCCATAGAACCGGCAACAAAAAATTAACGTTTCTCTAAAAAAACTTTCATCTCTAAACAAAAAATTTATCTCTATTTCAAGTGCTCCTGCACTCGTAACTCAATTTAAATACAGTAACAGTAATCAGCAGATCATTAACTTAAAAAAAAATGGAGACACTATTTCTCTTTTGTTATTTCGGGGGAAAAGTCTACCCAGTTGCAATATTCTTTCTAATTTGAAGAGTAATGATTACACAACACTCATAGATCTTTTCAGACAACACCACCCTGACTCACCTGGTGTGTCGGAGGGTGGTGTGAATCGGACAATCTGCTGTCCTGTCTCGATGTCGTAAAGGACTGAACTAGAGGAGGAGAATCCGACCACTGCCTGGTTGGAATCAGTCCTCACAAATGTACACGACACAGGCACTCCGTCGTCTAAATTTATTAACTCATGATTTATCATCACGACACAACCAACATATCAAGACATTTCGATTAGTCATTTTCCTTTATTGAATTGAAGCATATTTGTACATGAAAAAAAAAATTGTACGCAATTGACCTGGGGATTTTATAATCAATGGCAAAATTTCACTCAAAACTTCTCACATTTTCTAAATGGTTCCTAATATTTGATGAAAAAAGAATCGCGTGTATAACATTTCCGTAAAATTTTTGGTAGAATTCGGAGTTGTCTATATAACAAATTCGAACCTGGTAAACTTTCAAAAGTCTGCAACAACGGTGTCTGCTCGTCTTCCAAGGGTCGCCACAACTTTACAGTACAATCCGCACTGGCCGACAACAACAGGGGCTTCGAGGGATGATAGGCCAGATCCCAGACTGCATCTTTGTGCTCCTTGTAGATCCCAAGAGATACCGTAGTCTCGTAGGGGTCATAGGGATCGTTATTTCCATTGGGCAACATCCAACTGTGGATTGTTCCATCTGTGCTGCATGAGAACATTTTATCGCCGTCCGGGGCAATTACTGCATTCAGAACCGGGCCTAAATGTGCTCGGAACGTGTACACCGGTTCGAATTCCGGCGTCGCGTTCTTTTTACTGCTCTGCGGTGCACATTTAGCCAGATTCCACAATTTCAAAGTGTGATCTTCGGAGCCGGTGACTACTACTTGATCTGTGGGATGAAACGCGACACATCTTACACTGTCAAAATGACTTCGTAACGTATATTTGATGTTCCAAGTTTTCCTGTAGTCCTCACGAACTGAATTTGAGAGCGGGTCATACTGCAGAGGAGCTGCTTCGTTTGAGATGGTCAGCCTAGCGAGCTCGCCCAGGGCTCCTAGATTTTCTCCAGGCATTTCGGATCCTTTTCTTGATCCTAAAGCATTCACATCTAACATCAAATGAAAGCCAATCGATATAAAATACTACCTTATATGATCGTGTAATTTCTGCAGGAAAAGGTCGCTGATTGGTTTAAATCTAATGATCATCGATTAGTAAAATAAATAAATGCAGCATATAGAAAAGCAACAATTTTTTGAATAAATACTGCTTTAAACAATTGCTATCGCACTGATTTAAAACAGTACTTCTATCAAAAAACACTTTGAATGGAGCAGGAAGTTAATTTCAAGAACTATTACTTGACAAACTCAGATCGAGTTTTTACCAAAAAAAGGCTCATGAATCAACCTTCAAGATTTGTAATGGCAATCCAAGCTTAAAAAATACAGTCGACATTCCAATTGAGCGAAGTAACATCTGAATTATTCAGCAAAAACGAACATGAACAAAATGATTCGTTTTTTGTGCACTCTTTCAATTATATTCGGCCCGACACAAAAGTTTTTGATCTGACACTATTTTTTGATCCGATATTATTGTTTTCACCCGGACACTTGTATTTTTAACACAACACTGTCTATTTGACCCGAGATAGTAGAAGTTCGGCGAATATGCAACGTAAGTTTTTTCCTCGAAATGGAAAGATAATACTGACCTGGAGGTTCATCCCCAGAGCCCGGTACTCCCCCGGACGCTGAGCCGTAGAACTTAGGGGGGAAATTTGGACTACTTCCACTGCTCTCGTCAGCTGCGTCCCACTGTTGCATTAACTGCTCAATCGCACCTGTTCCCGGCGTCTTCACTCCTACATGAAACGACGCATGAGGTCAGTCAGAGGGTTGACTTGATGTTTATGACATAAAAGTTGGTCACAAACAAAAAAACATAGCTAACAGACCGGTGGAAAAGATTCAATGAACACAGCTAAACAGAAAAAAAAGACTTGTTTTTTGAAAAAAAAACTTTTTGAATTTCCAAGAAAAAAAATAGATGGCCTTAAAGCTCTTTGGTTCAATTTATCTTTGATACTTTTTGAGTAAGTTAATCCAATTTGAGAACACTGGATCAAAAGGTATTTTTTTATTCCGCTGCAAAACTTGAAAATTAAATTCCACTTTCGAAACTCAATTCGATCAGGTTTCCCTGTTTGCTGTTTGTAGTGCATTTTGCCTTCCTTTTAACAAAGGAAAAAACTCAACTTGAAAAAAAAAACAAAGTTAAACCACGAAAAAATAAATTTGAGCCTGAACAAATTATAAGACTTTTCCTGGAAAAGAAAACGCAAAAAAAAAATCACGACAAGATAAAAATCATCACGGCCTATGTAAGAGTCTGAGCTACGTTCATCGACTCTTTAAAAATACCGATTGGGGGAATTATAGAGTTTAACACAGAGGCGAAGCTGCGCTTCCGCAAACACTTGCGACGATAACACGACCAAAAAGCAGCTCCATCAAGTGGGAAAAGAAAAGGTAGAAATAGGCCTCGAATTAGCAAAAACTCGGCTACGTGTAGGATTCGAATCTGCGACCTGCTGCAATCAAGATATTTTTAGTCTCACGCACTATTCAATCAGCCACACAAGCTTAAAAACCGACAAACAACAGTCACGAACAAAGCAGGTACACATGCTAATAAATTGCCAATGCAATTCAGCAAAAATGACACCACATACAAATAGACTCAATTAATAATTCGGAATATAACACACTGAAGGCATCCACACTAATTTTGCATCTAATGAATCTCAAAGCATAAAGCCACATCCCAAAAACAGAGCCACATTAAGAAAAAATTATGCATTTCAAAAAATTGCGAGATATATTGAGTTAGAAAATTTCTGAAACCGAGTTTTCATTATTGTTGTTGTTTGAAACAAATCACTTTTTTCGGTTCATTTGATGAATTAAAAAAGCATCAACTGTGTTAACTTATTACTATTTGAATTTCAAAGCTCATTCTATGAAAAAACTGTAAAGATGCACCAATATTTTCGACTTAGGTTGGAAAAAAGAAGGTTCGCACTAATACACTCGCTTCGCAAGTGTAAAAAGTTAGAACAGACAGAATTAATTAAAAAGAACAATCTGCCAATTTCGAACTAATTTTGCACACTATCTTGAACTTTCGAGCGACCTTGAGACATAGTTCTTGTCAGAAAAACTAGCTTTCACAAACAAATCAAAAATTCCAACATTCAGAAGCTTAACGAATGCATTTCCTAATCAGATAATTTTTTAGAACGCCGAACAAAATAATCTAACTTTGTGTGGATTTGGCGCCTCCCGCTCTTTTCTCCTTCTTGTACTGTTCTTTCTTTTTCTCTGCCAGCTCAGCTCCACTGGCCCAGGCATCCTCCGTCCCCCCAATAGCATCTCCTTCTGCATTCGAGGAACCATCATTCACATCCCCACCCACAGTCGAGTCCAGGTCGAACATGGCGTCGAACTCCCTTTGGATGGACTCCTCGTCAGTGGCCTCAGAGAACCCCAACTCATCCTCGCCGTCGTTTTCACTCAGGCCCAGAGAAATCACCTAAATTGCATGATTCAGTTAAGAAAAGACAAAGAACTCACCTAAAATTACACGGGTAAAAAACACCGAATAAAAATCAATTACGATGTTGAAGAAATTTTTTATGCAAAAACAATAACAGCGGGTAGAAATGAAAAACTGAAAAATCCTTTTAACCAAGAGCATACCGAATCAATTGCATCATCATCTTTCTTAGATCCGCCTACAGAGTTCTCGTTGTCAAAGTCCTCCATTTCCTTGTCCAGTTTCACGGCAGCATCCAGAAACGAGACATCAACCATTGGTCCAGACATCTGGTTACCTTGCTCATTATCAGCAGCATTGACCGCATTAAGAGCTTCAGACAATCTAGAACAGAAAAAAAACTCTTCACTGCAAATCAACACAGATTTTACTATAAAATCGTCATATCTGCTAGAGGAATAAACCATGTGAACCCATAAAACCGTTTAAAAAAGGGGACCAAGTTAACATCCCCCCAAAGCCGTTGGGGGGGGGGGGGGGGGGAGGAGGATGTTTCCTTGGTTCTAAGTTAGAAATTTTCAGCCAATCAGAATCGAGAGTGGAAGATCTCAAGTTGGTCTATCTAGGGGGAGGATGTTAACTTGATCCAAAAAAATGTTTACTTACTTGAAGTCTTTATAATCCAATCCGCCAGTTTTTGACTTCGCGAAGGGTGGAACATCATTGACCGAAGCACCCACCAATCCGAGAATAGAATTAATTTTAGCTGCCTTTACTTCCAACATGGAATCTGTATACCCAATTTCTTTCAGGTATGTTCTTAAAAGCTTTCTGCCTTGTTGCAGAGAAACTGCATTTTGCATCGTAAGTTCATCTTGCTGAGGTTCGCTCAAAAGGTTATCAGCCATCTCGTCAGTTTCATCTTCGTCGAAATCAGGAATGGGCATGGGAACATTTGCTTTACCTGATTGATTTTTAAGCCTGAAAAAGCAGAAATTTATATTTATTTAATACACCAAAAGAAGCGGACACCAAAAGATAGTAAAAGATAGTAAATATTTGAACAAGAAAACACAACTAACCGTTCCTGTTTCAAAGCGTATTCGAGCATTTTGATTCTTCGAACCAGATCTCGTTTGAGATTTTCTTGGCCTTTTCTCTCACCAGTTAGAAAACCGATCCGAGCCTGCAGAATAAAACAAACATAGACAACTAACAGTTGGAAAAGAGTCAAGGAATGCAGGTTAACAAAAATATACTGACTTGTCTTTTAAAAAGATCTCAACTTTCGAACTTCAAGAAAACAAATAGTTGCCCATAAAGCTTTGAATTTTTAGAACAATTTGTTTGGCTTTTCTTTCATAAAACCAATCCAATTTTGAGAACTGGATCAATATATAAAATTTTTCTTTCGCTGGGAAACCAGAAAATTAAAGTCGACTTTCGAAACTAAAAGTCGGTCACGTTTTTCGCGACCTTTACACTTTTGCTGTTCGATAGTGGAGTTTGCCTTCCTTTAAACAATGGAACTGCACTGAACTTGAAAAGAAATCAGAAGTCACACCGCAAAATAATGTTAATTTGAGCTTGAAGACGCTTCCTAGAAAAAAATCAACTCAACCAATATAAGAGTCAGAATTGCGTTCATCAACTCTAAAAACATTGAAAAGGAACTATTGGAGTCTATGTTTAAAAATATATATATGCTAGAAGCAACGATACAAAAGTCAAACTGTCCAGCTTTTTTATCCACCCCTTCAGGAACCCAATAGAAAAGTGATATGAAAAATTATACCTGTAGCTCCGCTCGCTCCACATCCCAATGAGCTCGTTCCATTTCAAAACGAGTCCACTCATGTTGAATGAAATGAAGGATTCCAGGTATGCTATACTGCATTTGCTCTGGAGCGGACTTCTGACCGGGATTATTTGACTGTTGTTGGTTGTTCATGCTTTTGTTTTCGTCCATGGGCTAGCGATGGCGAACTTTTACATGAGAACTAAAAAAAACTATCCATCTCGTGGATGATAAGAAAGAGCTGAGGACGATTGTACTTGAACAATCCCGTTTTCCATATTTCTCATTTGAAAAAACCGAACGCCAGGAATCCTCAACGCCGGTTCCTTGAACCTCAACGCCGGTTCCTTGAACCTCAACGCCAGGAATCCCCTCAAGGTAGTCCAGAATCTGTTCAAAAATCAAGGCGTACTTCGACAACGCAAAGATATTATCATCTGGCACGATATTATCAATAATAGCATCACCGCCCACTCAAGCAACTATTGTCCAATTCGAGACATATACCGACCCCTTAGTCCTCGCACACTTGCTAGGACTCTCGAAAACCTCAAGAAAAAATTGTCTTTTCTGCAGAAATATCTAAAATCGTGGCACAAAATCAAACAGTTCCCTGATGAAATGTATTTCAAACAAGGTGAAGACAAATCCACGATAGCTCGCGATATTAGTCAGAAATGCGAATTGTTAAACCAATTCTTCTCAAGTGTATTTACACCATCCGAAAATATAAACACCAAAGATTAAAAAAAGTCAGCCCTGAATACAGTTCTGGTGACAGAAGAAGTAATAAGCAATATCCTATTAGGTTTAGATGTGAACAAATCCCGTGGACCCGACAACATCGGTAACATCTTTCTGAAAAACCTTCCACGTCTCTCAAAATCCCTGAAGGTAGTATTCCAAACCTGTCTAAAAAAAGGTGTATTCCCGAAGGAATGGAAAATTAGTGAAGTTACATCTATTTTCAAGGAAAATGCCAAAGCTCACGTTACTCAATACAGGCCGATAAGCCTCTTAGCCAACGTTTCAAAAGTTTTTGAGAAACTTATCTTCAATCAAATGAATCTCCACTTCGAGCCTAGTTTCCATCGCGCTCAATACGGCTTTATGCACAAGAAATCGGCAGTATTGCAACTCCTAATCTTCGCTGATAACATTTACAAAAAGCTTGACTAAAAGAAATCCAGTGACATCAGCTCTCTCTACGTTGACTTCAGCAAATCCTTCCACAAAGTGTCTCACCTGAAACTTGTTGAAAAAATATCTAACCTTCGCATCGGAGGGAAACTCCTGAAATAATCGTAAGCTACCTAACAGAAAGGAAACAGAGAATTAAAATTGGATGTTATAAGTCATCCATTTCTCAATGCACTAACGGTGTTACCCAAGGTTCTATTTTTGGACCATTAATGTTCCTGGTATATGTGAACGACCTTCCTGATGGAATAGAAGACGGATAAGCCTTCGGTTAGGCGGACGATTTTTAAGTGGTGACCACATCTTTAAGCTACGCAGAAAAGGCGGCTTCACAAATAGAAAAATGGAGCATCGAAAATAAAATGATTCTCAATGTTGACAAACCAACATACTGTGCATAAAAGAAGAGACACAAACAAACGGACGATTAAAAACCGTCACATCACAGAAAGATCTCGAAATCATCAAGTCTAACAATTTATCCTGGAGTAAAAACTGTAGTAGGCGAACACTTAATGGCTGGAGGTCTTTATACTTCCTCATCAGAAATACTTCGGAAAATGCATCGCTAGAACAAAACTGAATGCCTACGCAGGATATGTAGTACCAGTGCTTACTTATGCATCGCAGGTATGGTACCCCTCAAAAACTGAAATGAGGAAGAAAGAGCAGAAAAGCCACCAAATGGATAACCAACGGGACTGCAGATTATAAAGAAAGACTTCTCCGCTTGAAACTATTACCTCTATAAATGTACTTGGAAGTGCATGATGTTCTATACCTCATCTCTGTGCTAGAAGGAAGCTATGAGGCCAAAAACATGCCAGTGACAAAGAGCCGTGGGGGGTTTACAAGACAGCAGACCGAACTCTATATCCACCAACAGCGCCTCAAGAAATGCGACAAAAACTTCTGGATCCGTGCACCAAAACTGTTAAATTTAGTGCGAAGAAGCCTGTTTGCAGATGAAATCATCAACGAAAATAGAATTGCCAAACTATAGCACGCATTCTTCCGTGACAGATTCAACGAGATTGACTCTTGCTCGTGGAGAGTGCTATGCCCATGTGGAAACTGTAATTACTTGAAAAAACTCATGCCACTTGAAAACTGAGGGGTGAAAACCCTGGAGCAGATGCTCTAAATCCTATACTACTACTACTACTACTACTAAAATTCAAAAAAAATGATATTCAGATCCGATGATATTCAAAATTGTATCTGCGATGGATGTACTTTGGTACAGTGTGCAGACGATTGCATGGTGTATGCGTCATCTACATTTTCAAGTGATGCTCTGAGTCACTTACACATGCTTACACGAGCTTACATCCTTTTTTGTTTTGACGAGCAAAATTTGAAATCAGACCGTCTTGTCATTAATAATCATTATGTAGATAAAGATAAAAAATCTGAATGCAAAAAAAATTATAGGTTTGATTCTCGATTCTAATCTTTCAATTCAACCACAAAAAAAAATGAAAATAGACTCAAGGAGTTAAGACCATAGGTACAATTGGCCAACAACTGCATACAATATCTTAATTTGCTTTGCTTCACAGTTTAATTTCGTCCCATCTGAATTATGCAGCAATTTTTTAGCCACAAATCAATGGACTTCAAAGATGTATCTAGTGAGGCAGTTGAACTGGGCCGTAAAATGCGCGTTCTTCAGATCCAAACTGAAGTCATCCGTCGCACTGCGTAAAAACAAATTGTTTATCGGAATTGAAAACAGGATTGAATTGAAATGTGTAATTTATCTATATCAAATTCTGGCCGATAAGAGAATAGCTCTTACGAATTTTTTAAAATTACAGACATCCAATTACAAAAATAACAACCGCGCAAAGCAAACATTTTTTGATAATCACTGTTAAACTGCTTCTATGCAAAATCATTTTTTCAGCTCGCTCCAAAAAATGAAACTCATTGCTAGTAAAATTGAGCAATTGTAACATTCGCCCGGAAGTACAAATCGACGGGAAATAAAGCTAGATTGTAAAACGACTGCCAGCGTCTAAACACAGCTCTACATGCTTTTAACCGTCTCTGCCGAAGCCAGTTTTTTGTGTGGTCCTTTAACATCGGGTCGACAAAATCATTACTGTTTTGGGCTATAGGTCAGAACGCGCAAATTAACTTAGTTACATGCAAAATAGTGAGCTCATGTTTGGGTCTCAGCATACCCAGACCCCGAGGTTACTTCTAAAAACACGGCTACTACTTATTTTTTATATTATATATCATCATCTCCAACCCTTTCTCTCAACTTCTAGCTTTTCATTAGCTTAAATTTAACTCAGGACATAACCGGAAGCTAAAAATTGTTAAAATGGAGCTTCAGTTTCCTTCCCGAGATCCTTCCGGATTCTGGAATCCGGATTCTGAAAACCGGTGCCATCGTCTCCGGATTCTGGAATCCGGGAGGAAGAGCGAATTTTGGAATCCGGACCAAGAGCGGTCTGGAATTCGGACGAAGAGCGGTCGTATCAACCTTCTGGAAGGGTGACAAAGTCCTCTCGATACCCTTCCTGATTCTAGAGATTTTTTTAGTAACGATTGTACAGTTACAATTGTTTTAATCGGGACAACTTCTGTCGTAATCTTCATTGTAATACAGCTTTTTCTACGTGAAAGTCTGTCTGTTCTGCTCTATTAGCAAAAATCGTTGTTGCAATTTTTGCGCATTTTCAATTATTGCAAAATTGCAAGGTCGTGACGTGTCTTTATTCCAGAACGAATTTCTAAAATTTATTTTGTCACTTCAAATTGATTTTTCGTCAAATTCGTCAAAATGCACAATTAGCAGAGTTAATCTGTCAAAACTGGTAAATTTCCCACTCGGATGTCACAATAAAAAATCGATCTTGCCATGCATTTTGGCGCCATTCTGGTGGAAGGTCACATACTCCCCGGACAGCCCGGCCAATGTCCTCATTGAGTCTCGTGGTATTCATCAAATTGGTACAGTGCCATCGAACAGAATTTACAAAATGCATGAAATCACTTTCATCTACATCACATCGACTCACTGCAGAAAACAAATGGCATCAAACTACACAGCCTTCTAACGTTCGTCACCAATCTGCACCTTGAGGATATGATTCAAGATAGAACATTTTTTCTGACTTTTAATGCCATTGTCTTGATTTAAAAAAGTTTCTCCTAGGTTTAAAAGTTGTTGGGTCGCAGGACAGTCCTGCCAACCAACAAACTTAAATTATTGTACTATGCTTCCTCCATTCGGAAATTTAGTTGTTAATGGTCCTGAATAATAATGTCAGGGAACTTGGTGGTCAAAAGAACATTGAAATAATCCCCTTCTTCAAAAGATTACCCAAGCCCTTCATATCACCACAAAGTGATCAGTCACCTTAATTGGTTGAAAACAATCATGCAGGCTAAAATATTCAATATATTTCTCACTCAAGCGTCTCTAAATAAATAGTAAGTGTCTCTAAAGACACTAACTGAAATTACAATGCAAGTTTATAAGTGCAACAAGTTTTTAACACTCAAAAATCAACTAAAACTTTCTCTTTCGTTCAGTTTCAATTTGCAAGGTTAGTTGCTTGGTTTCTCATTTGAGTTTTTCTCACACAAAAACAATTTTGAGGTTTAACATCTTCTTCTTAGTTACTTCTTTTTTCACTTCTTTCCTTTGGTTCTTCGTCGTTCAGGAATTCTTAAACTTCTTTTTGGCATCTTGTCTCGCGGCTCTTTGTCATTGTCAAACTTCAATCCTTGTCCGTTCGAGGTGTGCATAACCCGGAGACAACGCGAATACTGCTTTTGGTGTTATTTTCTGGAATGCGTCTTCTTTCAACACATTCATCATTTCGCCCATTGACTCCAAAATGTCTTTGATTGCTGGCCACACTGCGCCTTCCGTCGTTGTAGGCTCTCTGAGTCTGCTCAGCAAACCACTACTCTGCAAGTGATTTTTCATGCCAGCGAATACGATTGTTATCGTGTTCATTTCGGTTTGTCGTTGAACCCCGATCGCCATTGATACAGGTTGCATCAAGTCTA